AAGGACGTACTGGAAGATGGCGGTACGGGAACCGAACTTACTTCGTCTTACTTCCACTTCCTACATCTGCTTTAGTATTAGTCTCTCTAACCACTGCACAACAACTCTCTCTCTCTCTCTCTCTCTCTCTCTCTCTTTGCTTTGTTTCTTGTGCCTAATGCCTTCTTTATGCTTTTCTTTCTCTCTCCATCTTTTTTAAGTAATTTGCCTTCTTTTTATAGTAATTTGCCCTCCAAATCCCACACATACTCCCTAAAACCTTCCCCAAACTCATGACCAAAACCCAACTTGATTTAACTGCCTTTTTTTCAGTTTCCAAGGCCCATAAAACCTTCCTCTTTGTTTGTCTAATTTTTTTTTTTTAAGCATAAAGATCTCGTGCAATCATAGTATTGTTCCTTGAGAATAAATGCCTTAGTGTCTGAGCTTTCAAGGTAGAGAGAGAGTGAGAAAACCCCATTATTTTTAGAGAGATTATTTGGTCCTGGTCCAACATAAGACCATTAAAGCAAAATGTGGAATACCATTCCTCGATAGAATGCATTAGCTTTCACTTTCTTAAAAAAGCAAAAGAGAGCAAGTATTAGTGGCGTGGCTTTCAAATGCACAACTCAATTCTCCTATGCCCTGATAATTTTGTTTGCTCATTATTCTGTCCTTTTTTTCTTTTATTCTTTAGATTTTTTTTTCTCCTTTTCCTCTTTTTGTGAAGGGGTGTGGCAAGCATGCAATAAAACTGAGGAGAAATCATATGCATGATGTAGCAAGAACACAATTCAAGACCTTATCTCAGCCACCAAATATGAATCTCCTCTCATTCTCTCTCGTCCAATTTGAATCTCTTTCTCTCTTGCATATTCCCATGTAAGAAACTATACATGGCCTTCAATTAGGAGGGAGTATCTGCTTGAAAGAAGATTCTTCTTCCACTATTTAAATAAGGGACGTATGCTATAGGACTATTTATCTTTAGTACATTTAGTACTAAAAGTTCACTCTCACTCCTAGCCATCAATATGAAATATGATTAAATTCTTGAAAAACTTTTTCTTAGGATTTAGATGCGGGTTGGTGAGACCCCCCAACAGCCGAATTTCATGTCCAGCAGACCATATTGATTTGAATCTTCTTATAGAAAAAATAACGGAAGAAGTTTATATAGAGCCAAGGCTTTAACACAATCAAATTGAAGCACATCTCAAAAAAAGTTTGATGTCTAAATATTCTCAAATTTATTATCTCATCAAGATGCATGGACATAAGACAAAATGGATTTCAAGTTTTGGAAATAGTGCATCTTGTAATGCATTTTTTGACCGTCAATTTTCAAGGTTTTTACATTTTTATATATATGTTCAATCTACACTATTTTTTAAGCTTTAAATTTTATAATTAGAGATAAAAATACTTTAAGGCTATCACAAAGATTTCCGGTATTTTTTTGTCAAGCACACATAACTTTATTGATCAAAATAAGGAACTACGCTTACCAAATAAAAGGAGAAATGAAAATACAATCAGCCTATACTCGTTCCTTAGCTAAAAAATCTGCTCTCTTATTTGCCTCTCTATAGACATGGTTGAAAGCAATCTACCTAATTTTGGCATATATTTGCAACCAGAATTTCCTTAAGTTCCATGATGGTTTACTTAAGCCTCAGTTAATGATATTAAGCGAGTCCCCCTCCACCAACCATCCAAAATTCGGACACCGCTCTTTCAACAACTTGCATCTCAGCATGGTTAGTTGTAACTGTACCGCAAGGACCATAAAATACAAAAAAACTCCATGCCCAATTAGTCTCTCACTACCCCACCACATCCTGCGAGTCCACACTCTATGCACGTGATGATGCATCAAATTGCGCAGATTTAGGAGTATATCAATCCTAGAGAGACCAGACCCTTCTTTGGTATTTGATAGCTAAAAGCACACATTTTGAAGCACCTTCCCTTGACTCGAGCTACCTCTAAACACCTTCTATAAAAAAACACGCTTATTCCTTTCTAACCTCACCTCCTATAGAATCGACGCCCTGAAAATCTGCCAAATCAGAACACCTAATCTTGGGATAGAAGGAACAGAGAGTTGCTCTATAATAACAGGGAAAAGTTTATATAGAGCCGAGGCTCTAAACGATCATATTTGAGTCTACTTCAAAAATTTCACAAGACGAGGTTGTTTTGATGTCCAAATATCTTCAAATTGATCATCTCGCATTAGAAAAAAATGGATTTCAAGTTTTAGAAATAGAGTATTTTATAATGCATTT